GAACTTTGAATTGAGTTTTATTATCGTTTTTCGAATAGAATCCAGTACCTTGCCCGCGTTAGCCAAGTACTCTACGGCTGACCTAAACCCCCAGCCCTTTTGAGACAGTCTTATCAGGTAGCCCAGACTTAGCGTCAGATGAGATTTTCAGGCAGGTGCAATAGCCCAGTTGGCAAACGGCTTGCATGAAAAACACAACGATAAACGTCTGACCCTCAGAATCTGTGTTGCCGGCGTGGTGGCCTGCAGGCAAATCCCAGTGATGGGGAGGCGGAGACTGGCCTGAGCTCTTTCTGGCTCTTCCTAGTGCATCCTGGGTGACAAGCATGTACTCCATGCTTAGGGCTTGATTTGCATTGTATTTTAATTGATTCCAATACCACCATGGCCACCGTCCGGGGAGAGCAAAGGCCTAGAATGTTCCAGGCTCATCACTCTTCATTCAGTTTAGAACCTTCGTCTGTTTCTCCCCCCGGAGGGCTGTACAGTTGGGATCGGGAGTGCATGTAATTTATGGCTGAATCACCTTCCCCGCCCCCAGCTCTTGCACAATGACATGCCGTAAGCCATGCCTGTGGTAAATTGCCAGCCTAGAGGGCGGCTCCGACTCCTTCCAAGGCTCCTGGCCATTCAGGGAGATTACAGGCTTCTGGCCTCTCTGAACAGCTGCTTACCCGATGAGGATCAAGGAGGAAAACAGTGTTTACAAAATGCTCTTGTCAATGGCACTGAGCTGGGGTGGGCTGAGTGGGGATACCAAGGCCCAGCCCATGCAGGCAGGCAGCCTCACTCTCCAGGAGGCCACCGTCCACACACAGGCACGGAGGGGCCAGAAACAATAGGACATAGGGAAATTGAGCCTGTGGATGAACACTGTTTTCCGTAACCCACCCTACCCACCACATGTGGTCTGGGAAGGGAAAAATAGTCCCCCCCCGCAAGGAAGTGCCCTCACATGCCCCCGCCCTCCTGTAAGTTGCTTTCCTTCTCCTGCAAATGGGGGATTCTCCTGACTGGGTGGAGGCTGGTGGGGTGGGCGGAGCAAGGATGCCTGGCCCTGCTCTGCAGGTTCTGTGGGATTTGGAGCGAGAAATAAGATAGCAGAGTTTCCCATGGAACTCAGCTCTCCTTGCCATGGGACAGGGACAGGAGGGGCTGCTGAAGACCCTAGGGTCATGCTGGGGTTGCCTTTGGAGACTCTTACTGCAGCAGGACCTAGAGACAGGCTGTGTGAGTGCTGATTGTGGGGGGGTGTCACCCCCATGGCCAGGATGTGCAGCCTTCTGTGGACCTATCTGTCCGTGCAGAGCACTTCCCCAGATGGCCTCCCCCGCAGGGAAGCCATGGGAGGAATGGAGACAGGGGGTCTGTAGCCAACTTGGGTTGGGTGTTGGGCAATATCCCCCCCAAAAGTGACTGAGGTGACACTAATGTGACAAGGCCAACTTTGCTGTGGGATTTGGCTAAATGGTTGTTAAGGTGGCGTCAAGGAGGAGACTATTTCAGCCTTGGTGTTGATTTGAACTTGCAAAGGAGGGTGTGTGTGTGTGCGCACGCGCGTGAGCGTGCACATGCTGGGGGACCACGCTGCCCACCTCACTGCCATTAGCAGGAGCCTCTGACCATCTTGGGGGCTGCTACCTGATGACTCACTCACGTCACAACCCCAAGCCAGTGGTGCATGGGGCCGCAGAACTGGTTCCCGGATGGGAGGAATTTTGCCCCTGAGGGGACAGACAGAGGACAGCATCCGGGGTTGTTAGTTGTTACAAACTGAGGAGGCTGCTAACAGCATTTTGGGGTAGAGGTTGAGATCCCACAAAGCACCCTTAAATATGTCTGCTTTTATTCCTATGGCCCCAAACATACATGGATTTTATTACATATATATGCATATGTGTGACTATGTATGTATACAGGTATATATGTGTGTGTGTGCATATGTATATATGTGTGTGCATATGTATATATGTACACGTGTCTGTGTGATATATGTACATATGTGTATATGTATATAGGTACATATGTATATATTGTGTATGCATATATGTACATATGTGTGATATATGCATAATACATGTGTGCATATATATTCAGATTCATAGAAAATCAAGCTTAGACCTAGTGTGGTGGTGCATACCTACACTGACAGCCCTTAGGAACCTGAGGCAGGGGAGTTGAGAGTTTGAAGTCAACCTGAGCTACACAGTGAGGTTAAAAAAAAATTAAAAAACAAACCCAAACAGACCCAAGTTTAAAGAAAGGAAAATTTCCCTTTGTCTGATGCAAGCTTAGCACTTCCAGGAGCAGGGAGAATAATTATGAAGGCACCAGGGGGAAAACAGGAAATACAGAAATAGAGAAATAAACACATCAAGAGAACTCAGCTTGATAAATATTTGTTGAGTACTAGTGAAGTCCAGGATGCTGAAGGTCACATGTCTGGGTCAGGGACACCCATGTCTGATGGGGTCTCAAGGCCAAGCAAAGGTCTCCACGGCTGGAGACTCACACTGTGGAGGAAGAGGGTTTTCCCAGGTCAGGGCTGGGGAGGCGTGAACAGCTGGCAGAGCTTAGCATGAAGTGAGTCTTGACAGGGCCAGCGGGACTGGTGTCACCTGAGGTTAGCTTATCTGCATTCCAGGGGAGCCAGGCTCCTAGGAGTAGGCCAGCAGGTCCCTCCTTTGTGTGTGCCCTGCTTGGGCACACATGTGCTGTGCATGTTCAGGTGTGGAGAGGAACAGTTCTCTGTGTGTGTGTATGTGTATGTGTGTGTGAGAGTCTGTGTGTGTGTGTGAGCCTGTGTGTTTGTATGTGTGAGCACATGTGTGTATGCGTGTGTGTGAGTGTGTGTGAGCATGTATGTGTGAGCCTGTGTGTGTCTATGTGTGAGCATATGTGTGTATATATGTGTGTGAGCATGTGTGTGTATGTGTGAGCATTGTCTGTATGTGTGTGAGAGAATACATGTGTGTATGTGTGTGTGAATGTGTGTGTGAATGTGTGTGTGAGCATGTGTGTATATGTGAGAGCATGTGTGTATGTGTGTGAGACAGCACGTGTGTGAGAGAGTGTGTATGTGCATGTGTGTGTATGTGTGAGCATGTGTGTTTGTATGTGTGTGTGAGAGCGTGTGTGTGAGCATGTGTGTGTGAGAGCGTGTGTATGTGTGAGCATGTGTGTATGTGTGTGAGAGAGCACGTGTGTGTATGTGTGTGTGAGAGCGTGTGTATGTGCATGTGTGTGTATGTGTGAGCATTGTGTGAGAGAGCACATATGTGTTTGTATGTGTGTGTGAGAGCGTGTGTGTGTGTGTGTGTGTTTGTGTGTGTGTGTGTGAGCATGTGTACAGGCTAAGGGACAAACTCAGCTGTTGTTCCTCAGGTGCTATCTACCTTTTTTTTTTCAAGACAGGGTTTCTCTGTGTATCCCTGCCTGTCCTGGAACTCACTCTGTAGACCAGGCTGGCCTTGAACTCACAGATCCGCCTGCTTCTGCCTCCCGAGTGCTGGGCTTAAAGGTGTACCTACCTCTGCTAGGCTGCCTTGTTGTTTGGCCCAGGGAGTCTTGTTAGCTTGGAACTCAACAAGTAGGCGAGGCCCAGTTCTCTGCCTTCCATCATGGCACTGAGCTGTAAGTACGGGCCACCACACTCAGCTTCCATTTATCTTTATTTTGCACACATACATGCATGCACACACATATTCTAGGGGCAGAACCCAGGACCTTGTGCCTGGAGGCTGAGAGATCATCCCAGCCTCCTCTCTTCACTTGTGAACGGCACGCTAAGAACGGATGCTGTCTCCTGGAAAGATTAGCCACGGGACTCACCGAGGCCTGGGTGGGATAGAAGTGATTAATGAGGACATGTTCTCAGACCTGCCCGTCCCTCACGGGCCCGGAGTGTAAATGGAAGGGTGCATGGCAGCCGGGTGTCTGGTGCCACTGCTGGGTCCCTTTGCTGCTTATCAGTCAAGCAGGACAACAGTGCCCCGGGCTAAGGAGCAGGCAGGCAGGCCTGCCGGCAGGTGCCAGGGCTTGAGGGTGCAGCATGCAAAGCGCTAACTGTCGGCAGACCCTTGGCAGCACCAGGGTAGGCTGAAAACTCAGAGGCTTGAAGCCTCGTTCTGCTGGTGCAGCTGAGCCACAGCTGATGTTTAGAGGAGCCCTGGGTCTGAGAAACCAAGGGCTGGACCACAGGCTGGGGTGTGCAGCCAGAGGGAAGAGTGCCCGGACCTGCTTGCCCCAGGCCAGGCTCTTAGAGAGCTGACAGGCAGATGGGGTAGAGAATTTAAACATGCGCTTGAACTCATCACACACACACACACACACACACACACACACACACACACACACACACACACACCCTCGCTTTCTTTGTCTAGTGGTGGGGAAGCATCTGGCACTGGGGAATGGATTGAAGGACAGTCTCCATATTGGAAGAGGAGGGTCCTCCCCGAGCTTCTGCTTGGCAGCTGGGGGCAGAAAGATGGGAGAGAGATGGATGCATGACTTTTGCTATGTTATTTGCAAATGGACACCTGCTCAGCGCCCCCTGGTGGCAGAGGACAGCTGCAGCCAGTTTCTGCCCACTTAGCCTGTCTTGGGAGGGACTAACAGTTGCCCAGGACTCACTTGGGATTGTTCTGCTTATTGCCAGGGACTGGCAGGTGATGGGGCCCCCTTCCTGAGAGGCTGGTTCAGGTGACACTGTGCTCAGTGAGTTAGCAGCTTCCATGGAGCAGTGTGTGTACGAGCGCGTGTGTGCATGTGTACATGTGTGTACGCATGTGCACGTGCACATGTGCGAGTGTGCATGAGTGTGTATACGTGCACATGCGTGCATGTGTATGTGCACATGTGTGTGTGCATGTGTGGGTGTGTGCATGCACACATGTGCGTGCATGTGTGTGATATGTGGGGCTGGACCAACAGTTCTCTCTGTTGGCTGTTTCTCTGTAGAGTGTCTTCCTAACCCATGCCTTCTTCTTGTATTTTAGCGGGAAGATGGGCTCCTCTGCACAGGGATTGGTGCTCAGATGCTGCCTGCTGCTGGCCATCGCCTGGGGCCCAGTCCTGAGTCTCGTGCCACGTGGTCAGCAGGAACAGCTGGAGTGGGAGGAGAAGGAGGTGCTGCCGTCTCCTCCGGACCGCGTGAAGAGGTGAGGGGGCCCTTGGGCTGACCAGGGCAAGCGTGCGAGGTTTGGGGCACTCTGGGAGTGGCTGCCTGGAGCTGCAAAGGAGCAAAGCAGAAGCTGCGGCAAGGGCCTCAGGGAGGTTGGTCCTGGCGGTCAGACAGGCAGCTTCTCCCTCTCGTGACGGGCGTCAAGTCTGAATCTGAGGACGGTGGTCCAGCCTCGTCCTAACCCCAGGGCAGTCGAACTTTACATCTCTGTCATGAAAGGGCACTGCCCTGCCCCTCAGGTTGCCTTTGCCTGGTCTCCCTGAAATACGCCCCGAGGCGCTGCATACGTACACAAGCAGGACGCAGGGACAAGTGGCCTCAACAGCTTACTCATTTATAAGATGACAATGCAGTCTAGGGGTCTTGGTCAGGGTCATCTTCTCTGCCAGCTAAAGACAAAAACAAAACAACAACAAAGCATGAAAAACTCAAGTATAACAGATGGCAGCAGGGAGCTCTCAAACCCTGCAAACAGTAGCGGCGTTTCTTGGTGGGGGGTGGTGAGGAAACACACACAGACGGCGGGCTCACAGGGAAAGAGACCTTCCGTGTTGCAGAGGGGACCTCAGAAAGCCAAAACATCCGGTCTCTTCTCCAGGGCTGCGCTTTCTTTTTAAAGTCTCTAGAGAGTTCTCCTCCCCTAACTTAGGGGTGGTCAGTTTGAAGGAAGACAGGACGGTTGATGGCGTAACATGTCCTGAGCTGCCCGTCAATCTGTTGAGCCAGTCTGTCAGCAGGGGTCCCGCTGGTGGAGACCAAAGCCCCCCAGGCTTTTGTCTGAAGCTGGCAGGCTTCTGTCTCAAGTCAGGAGGCTGAGGAAGAAGCCAGGCACGGAAATTCACCCCCTTTATTACCTAGCCACGGCCTCTCTCCCTGTCTGTCTGCCTTCCAGCTAAGAATGTGCTGGTGAGGGTGGACCGGGCAGGTCAGGTGCTAGCCTCCCCCGAAAGGTTATAAAGGACATTGGGGTGTCACTTGCCTTCCTTCATGCCTGTGACCCTCAGTGATATACAGACCCAAGGCTGTGGGAGACATTTTGTGGGTACGTCGAACATGACGTCCGAAAGGACTGCACACGGCTCCATGCTGGCGCTGGGTTTCTTTACTGTCCTGAACACTGGGTCAACTTAATATTCAAGGTTCCAGGCAGGGTTGTCTCTCCCCTTTCTCTCCTTTGTTCCCATTCAGCAAGCATTGATTAAGCAGCCGCTGTCAGTCAGGCCTTCTCCTGGGTCCTGGAGCGGTACCCGGAGGACAGACTTTGGCTTCTAGAAACCCCGAGGCCATAGGGAGACAGACAAACACAACACAACACAACACAGGCTCCGTAGTAGGGCAGCATCCGCTGCAGTGCAGTACCGGGGCTCTCCCGTGTGTGGGAGGAAACGGCAGAGTGCTGTAGGCAGGGTAGGCGAGTGGGTAGCGCAGGGTGCGAGAGTGCTTTGGGGTGGTGGGGGCTAGAGCCTGGGAGTGGGGGATGTTAGGTGGGAACCCTGAGGCAGCTGAGTGCGGTGTGTGGACGGATCTCATCCAGGCTTCGTTCTGTAGGGAGTAGGGAGTCCTGCAGGAGAGGTTTGTGCCCCAGGGTGTTCTAGAAGGGACTAGAAGTGTCAGAAGAGACTGCAGCGCTGCAGGGAAGACAAACTCCAGGGAAACTGCTGTCCACGTGGCTCATTAGAGACGATAAGGGCCCAGGTCGGTCCTGGGGATGCTTTGAGAAGGGGTCGACTCCCCAGGACTTGCCCGATATGGAGGGGAGGCCAGGGAGGCAGGGGGCTGCATTGTGGGCCACTGTAATGGGCTGGAAAAAGCATCTGTGAACAGCAGGTGTCACAGGCCGAAGGTCGCTGAGGCCTCCGATTCTGGACACGTGATGACCAGGTTTTCATGGGGTTGAACGCAGGGTGTGTGTGGATCCACATCCCAGATTGCCTGGGGGCGAAGCGTGGATCGGGCTTAGAGAGGGGGCTGGCTGGCTTATTCAGATCCCTCTGTGTCGAGGAGAGCAAAGGGTAATGCTGCATGTGACCATGAGGTGGCGGTGTACAGCTACCACTGCCCGCCGGCTGCTGTAGCCCAGAGGCACCAGAAGATGAGGTGAACGAAGTGAAAATTATTTACAAAAGAGTTGCTGGAAGGTTGTGCTTCGGATTCATATCCCTAGTTCTTTACCACGGAAAGACCTGGTCCTGCGGGCAAGATTCCTCCACTTAAGCCCTGAGGCTATTGTCATCTGCGTTATCTTTGCTTTGGATATATTACTACTATAACGGTATGTGTGTGTGAAAGAGAGAGAGAGAGACACAGAGAGAACACAGAGACACACACACACACACACACACACACACACAGAGAGAGAGAGAGAGAGAGAGAGAGAGAGAGAGAGAGAGAGAGAGAGAGAGAGAGAGCACTGCAGCTTGAGTCAAGATCTCAGAATTCTCCCCCGTGCCTATGCTAACCACAGCATTGCTTACCCAGGGCAAGGGGAGCCAAGCCCTGGTCTACAGCAGCAGAAGAGAGCTCCCAAAAGAGTTTATAATTTTGCTGTGTTTTATTCCCTCAGGGATGAAGAAACACAGGCGAAGTATAGCCCCAGCCAGGGCGAGGACCTCCCCACTTCCAGGTGCTACCGGTGCTGTGACCCCGGCACGCCTGTATACCAGGCGATTCCACCACCCCAAATCAACATCACCATCCTGAAAGGTGAGGAGGCTGCAGAGGAGGCTTTATCGAAGAAGAGGGAGGTGCTGCTGCTGAGCGGGGCTGGGCAGGACCGGGGGTCTAGGACCGAGGGTCTAGGACATAGCGAAGGTGGGCTGTCCTCTGGAGGAGAGGAGGAAATTTTGAGTTTTGAGTTGTGACCCTTTTCCAAGAGCAGAAGGGGAACCTCAGAGGATGCTAGGGAGATGGCTCAGTGGGTAAGAGCTCTTGCTGAGAAAGCAAGAGGACCCGAGTTCAAATCCCCAGTGCCCACATAAAAACCAGGCGTACACAGACACATGTGTCAGCATGGAGAGGGGCAGAGACAGGCAGATCCTAGAATCCAGGCTTTCTGGAAGCAATTGATCCAATGAGGAACCTTACCCCAAACGGTAAGGCAGAGTGGGACTGGCAAGAGCACTGGCTGCTCTTCCAGAGGACCTGGGTTCAATTCCCAGCACCCACGTGGCGGCTCACAACCGCCGTGGCGGCTCACAACCGCCCGTGACTCCAGTCCCAGGGGGACCTGACATCCATGGAAAAACGCCAACGCACATAAAATAAAAATAAATAAATTTTTTAAAAAGAAAAGGTGGAAAGAGACAAGGAGACACCCAACATCGTCTCCTGGGCTCTCTGAGTGCCTGCAAGGTGTGTTACATACACATGCCACACATGTACACGAACGCCACACATGCACATATATGAAGAGGGGGCCTCAGGGATTCTGCCCCGTCCCTGTTTGCACGGGACTCGCAGACCCTGAAGCTCTTTGTCCTGATGTGATGTCAAGCCAGTTCTCTGCAGTGCTGTCTCCCCCCCCCCCCCCAGATGATTTCACACAGCCCCAGGGAACGCTTGCAGCCTGGATCCCCTCCTTTGAGTTCCCACACCTGCAGTCCATTTCCTCAGAGTGAGCCCGGCCCGGCCACGGAGCCTGTTGCTGGTGGACAAACCCGTATGCCCCTTTGTTTTTGCCAGGACTTTCCAGAAAGAAAGCGAAAGGCCTGCCTTTTGGATGAAAAAATAAACCAACCCTTGCCAGTGAAAACATTAGCTCTAATGATGTATGAGAGCCAAAATGTCCCCTTATCCAGGAGCCTCCTGCAAAGGGACATCATCAAAGAGGATGCCCAGGTCGGGGCTGGCGTGTGGAGGCGGATGGCTGCCCAGAGGCTGCAGACTGACCTCCTTTGGGGGCCTCATCTCTTCTTATTCTCTCTTAGGTGAGAAAGGCGACCAAGGGGACCGAGGCCTCCAGGGGAAATACGGTAAAACGGGTTCCACAGGTGCCAGGGGCCACATTGGCCCCAAAGGGCAGAAGGGGTCCATGGGGGCTCCTGGAGACCGCTGCAAGAACTACTACGCAGCCTTCTCCGTGGGCCGAAAGAAGCCCCTGCACAGCAACGACTACTTCCAGCCCGTGATCTTTGACACGCAGTTCGTGAACCTCTATGACCACTTCAATATGTTCACCGGCAAGTTCTACTGCTACGTGCCAGGCGTGTACTTCTTCAGCCTCAACGTGCACACGTGGAACCAGAAGGAGACGTACCTGCACATCATGAAGAACCAGGAGGAGGTGGTGATCCTGTACGCGCAGGTGAGCGACCGCAGCATCATGCAGAGTCAGAGCCTGATGCTTGAGCTGCGCGAGCAGGACGAGGTGTGGGTGCGCCTCTTCAAGGGCGAGCGGGAGAACGCCGTTTTCAGCGACGAGTTCGACACCTACATCACCTTCAGCGGCTACCTGGTCAAGCCGGCCTCCGAGCCCTGACTGCCAGCCCCCCCAGACCCCCTCTCCACCGTGGTACTGTCATGACGGCCTGGTGACCTCCTTGCCTGTCACCCCTGCCCGTCCCTGCATTCCACAGACACTGGAGTCCTGCCCCAGGCTGACCCCCACCACCCCTCCCCTCAGTCTTGGCTTCTTTGGCCTTGGCTTCCTTAGTTTTTTGTTTTGTTTTGTTTTGTTTTGTTTTGACAAGATGCCCGTGGCCGGCCGCTGGGAAGCCCAAAGGGCCATGTGGTCCCAGGTCTGGCTGCTGCGGCAGATGAAATCATTGGGCGGGGTGCCTGTGAGGATGTTGGGGGACCTCCAGCTCCTTCTGTGTACGCAGCCTTAGACGACCCTGTGGTGAGCAGCCACAGGGGGTTCCAGAGCACAGCCTCTAGTGTGTTTCTATTCCTGGACATAATTAAACAAATACCACCGGTTTCAAAGTAACAAAGTAAAGCAGAGAAGACGCTGAAAGCGGTGTTAGTTTTGGCCTTTCAGCCAGCAGGCTCTGGGGGGGGGGCAGCGAGCTGTTTGTTCTGGGGAAAGTGGGCCAGAGACCCTGTGCAGGAATAGGACCTAAAGGGAAGTGTGGATGGAGATGGGGGAGCCGTGGTTTGTGGCTTTGAAAAACCACATCTGACGTAACTCTGTCTGGCCACGCATGAGCTTTCTCGGGGACAGCAGGACTGACCTCCGAGCTCTGTCGACTTGCTACATACAGCCTTGCCCTGGGTGCCTGTCAGTCTTTCTGAGCCACAATAATGAAAGGGCTCGGGGAGGGCCACAGATGCCGGCTCCCAAGAGGGTCAGCAGGGCCCTCTGTGGTTGACTCTGAGCTGGGGGTGACATCCGGCTTGCACCAGCTCACAGGCTCCTGGCAGTGGCTTGGGACCTCAGGGACTCCTGAACCTGCAGGTTTCTCTGTAAGAAATAAAGCTCCTAGTATATCCCAGAGCCTCCCAGCTTTCCTCCACTTTCCCAGGGATGCTCTGGAACCCAGGGTGGGTTCTACCCCTGCCTTGTTATGGGATCCATTCCCTGTTCCTCCTTCCAGGTGGACCGGCCGTGGAAGGTAGTAGACCTTTCGACTTGGGTCCCACCAGGGTGCCCCTCACCAGCCTGTGTCCCATCTTTTCCCTGGTTCAGCGTCCTGTCTGGGTGCTTGGTGTGTTAACCCGCAGGAACTCACGGATCTGACAGGACCACCTAGTCTGACACAGCCCGAGCCAGCCTATGGTGGGTGAAAGGGATTTCCTTTGGGTCCTAGAGCTGGGGAGAGCTGATAAGCTAGAGAGTATATCCTACGTATGTCGGGGTCAATCCTAAAGTGGTAGAAGAAGAAATACGAAGTCCCAGCACCAGGCTCAGACTCAGGGATGACTTCAGGCCTGATTCTCAGATCTCAGAGACCTCTCTCTATCTCACCGGCATTGACGCCCAGGACCTGGGTACTGGCTGTCTTTTTTTTTTTTTTTTGTGCCTACCAGGCCTTGCCTGCTGCTGCCTGCTGGCCCTTGGTTAGGACCCCTCCCTTCTCCCCGTGTCTGACTGTTGGGGCTCAGTGTTCGCACGGACCGCCTCTGAAGGGATCTCTGCTGATCAGACTCCCCAAGCCAGTTTCCAGGGGTGCGCTGGCAGCAGAAGCCTCATGCCTGCCGCCAGCGCCCTGCCCGCTCTGGCCAGGAAACATTAAGCTTGCCGTGGCGGTCTACAGCCAGCTGACCTCTGTGTCTGCTCTTTGACTAGTCTTCCTCTTTCCCCCTTTCCTATCTGATTGTGTCCTCAGCTTTGTACTCAGGGCTCGAATTGCCATGTCCCAACCAAGGAGACACAGATTTCCCGAGTGTGGTTCAGCAGAGCCGAATGCTAGAGCTGTCCGGTGTGTGGACAGGTCTGGAGACTCGTGTGTAGCGGTGGCGCATTGCTTGTTCTTCTGTGCTGGGGTGTGGGGCCCTGGGACTAGCAGAGCAGGGAGCCCCCCCCCCCCCCCCCGGCCTGGACTGTAGTCTGGACATCTGCATGGCCGTCCTGGGGCTGTGTCACACAGGCCCAGAAACCAGGTGTCTTCAAACAGACTAATAGCTCTTTTCATAGCTCTTGGAGGTCAGAGTTCAAAATCCAGGTGTGAGCAAGGCATTGCTCCTAGCAAGGGCTGGGGAGGGCACTTCCTGCCTGGAGGGAGGGGCCATATCAGTCTTCCTGTCTTGACTCTAGTCACCTGCTTCTCACAACTTGGTCTTCCTCTCGAGAACCCTCGGGGCTGCGTTCAGGGTCTCCCCCTAAATTCTGGGCTCACTATCCAGATTAAACTCAAACATACCCGCTGAAGGGATTCGTGAATGGACACACAGGGCACTGGAGGCCCGGGTGTGTGTGTCTCTTTTGGGGATCACGGTGAAACTTGTTGCAACAACCCCTGCCTTTGGACACTGTTAACAGCCCCTTCTGTGCTCCCGCGCCTGCAGTGAAGGGTAGGCACTTCTTTTCGCCGCTGGCCAACAAGTTCGGCAGCCAGCCCCCCCCACCCCCTTTCCACCTACCGGCAGCTGGCTTGGAAGCTGGAACCGGCAGCTTGGCAAACAGCTGGCCCTCTGCGTTTGCTGGTGCTGGGAGCCCACGTGGCCACGCTCAGCCTTGGAATGGGGCCAAAAGGAGCAGGTGGACAGGGGCCCCGATCAAAAAGCAAACTCCCTTCTCCACAGCGTGGAGGCTGCTGGGCAGAGAGAGGACCTAGGGGTGCCTGGGAGTAGGGCCTGGAAGGAATGCGTTAGCCCGTTCAAGAGCCCCTGGCTGCCTGCTCTGCTGTCCTGGGTGCCCTTGATCCAGAGGGGGCCCCAGAAGAGGGCAGGATTTGATCTGGTGCCCACCTGATGCTCCCCCCACCTCCCTTCTTTCCTTTTTTGAGAAGGGTCTCGCGTATGCCAGGCTGAACTTGAGCTCACTGCATATGAATAAGCCTGTCCTTGAATTCCTGATAATCCTGACTCCACTTCCTGAATGCCAGGATTACAGGCGTGCCCAACACGCCTGACCTTTTAAAATGTTAACACATATTAATTATATATAATAAAGAGTTTCCTTATGACATTTGGATACATGTGCACAGTGTATTTCCATCATATCCAGTCCCCATAATCCTCCTGTTCCCCTTTTACTGGGACTGATTCCGTCCTCTTCCTATCTAGTTTTCCTTCTGTGTGTGTATGTGTATATATGTGTGTGTGTATATATATATATATATATATATATATATCTAGGTGTGTGTGTGCATGTATGTGTGTGTTTATGTGAGTCTGTATGTGTGTAAGTGTGCATGTATATGTATGTGTGTATGTGTGTGCACATGTGTATATGTGTGTGTATATATATGAGTATATATGTGTATTATGTACATGTGTGTGTATGTGTGCCTGTATGTGCATATGTGTGTGTGTATGTATATGTGTGTGTCTGTGTCTGTATGTGTACATACTTGTGTGTACATGTGTGTGTATGTGTGTGTGTCTCCAAATGAGTCACAGTAAGATTGTTCATAGGAGTGCAGGCAGCTTACCAGTGAAGAACATACCCTATTCCAGGCAACTGGGTCTAAATCCTCAGAGAAGGGTGTGGCCATGAGAGCCCTTCCCAGTTCCATGACTGAGTGCTGAAGAGCCCAGTCATGGCAGGCAATCACAGCTGCTGTGCCCTCAAGAGTGCAACAGCCATGCATGCCCAGAGGTCAGCGCTCTTGCTTTTGCTGTTTATTTATTGCTGTATTTCATACTGTAGCCCAGGCTGGTCTCAAACCTCACACTTGTAGCAGTCAGTCCTCTGACTTCAGCCTCCTGAATGCTGAGATTACAGGCGTGTGCCCTGGCACACCGTATCCCTCTTAAGGTTTATTTTTCTGTGTACGAGTGTCTTGCCTACATGTGTCTTTGAAGGCCAGGAGAGGGCGACAGAGGCCCTGGAACTGGAGTTACAGATGGTTGTGACTGCCTGTGGGTTCTGGGAACTGAACCTGGGTCCTGTGCAAGAACAGTAAAAATCTTACAAAGTTGATCCAACATCTCCAGAGGCTGGGCTGGGAGAATGAGAATCAATGTGTGCAGACACATCTGTGGCTGTTTTTTTTTTTTAATGATGAAAACATTCTAAGATTGCCAATCCTGGTTACACAACACCGTGGCTACTAGGAACCTTGGAACTGTACACTTTGCATCGCTGGGTTGTATAGGGAATGGTCATGGACACAAAAACACACGAGCACATTCATACTTACACCTGCACCCACATACGCTTACTGTCACACGTACCACACACCCACTTTCACACACACACACACACACACACACACACACGATCGGGTTCCCCTGGTCCTTCTGAGTCACGACCCTCATGACTTGGCTAAGGTGGGGTCAGAGTCAGGAGCCAATGAGGTAGGATAGGAGCATGGGGCCAGCCCTTCCAAGAACATAACGGAACAAGCAGTTTTTAACATCTAGAGTGTGAGATCACTCAGTTTAGAGAGGCTGATTCAGGAGCCAGGAGAACATTCCAGAGGAACAAGTAATGGACAACCGTGCCTTTCTCTCTCTGAAATTCCTGCCTTGAGGGGGAGGGATCAGGAAGGCAGGGTGACCTCAAGTGCCCTACCTCAAGAGGCCCCGGTGTCTAGCCCTACCCAGCACAGGATGGAGTCAGGAACAGACAGCTGGTTGTAGACCACAAGGCTGCATGTCAGAGAATCCGGCAAATGGGAGAATCCGGCAGATGGGACTCGAAACCCACGTGCCCTAGGGAAACTGCCTCGCCAGAGAAAATGTCCTTCTGACTGCTCAGTAGAGATGTGACTGAGCTAAGGTCCACACATCTGCTTGCTAAGGACAGGTGCACGAATGTGCACATGCTCACCAGGAAGGGGGAGGACACCGAGTTGTCACCAACAAAATTCAGGAACGAAAGAAGACAAGATCGAGAATCCGTGGCAAAGAACATAACCAAGACAAGGAACCGTAAGGAAAATGCTAGAAGTGAGAAAAGCGAAACGAATGAAACCAAGAACTTCGTGGATGAATTTAAATCATGTACACTGTCAAAGCTGAAGGGGAAAATCAGCAGAGGAGAAAGTGAGTCAGAAGAAAATGCCCAGGAGCAAGCACAGAAGAGGCGAAGGAGAGGGCGGGAGACCTCAGGGAAGCCAGGCCTGGCCCTCGAGGACTGGGTGTCGGCAGTAAGAGGTGCCATGAGCTTAGAGACAGAGTCAGGATCACGGAGCAGGTATTAACCCGGATGTATTAACAGCAGTATGTCTTGTGTGGCGTCGAGACAGATGGACACTAGCTCCCCAAAGCAAGAGATGGGACTTCACAACCTGGAGGGTTGATTTCCACCATCAACTTGATTGAGTCAGGAGATGGCCAAAGCCTGTTGGGTGTGTTTGGGAGGACTGTCGTTCGCCGGGCTCTGACAATCACTGCCATCCACTGATGGACTCATAATTTGAGCAGACTATTGCCAGGCATGGGGAGAGACTAGGTCACAGGGCTTGTGTCCTCGGGGTTTTATCTTGTTATGGTCCCCTCCTGTTACCATGCATCTCATCCTCCAGGATGTGAGCGGTTCTGCTTTGAAACCAGGAACCCAGATAAATCTTTCCCCTTATTTCCATCTTCCAGCCAGGCTGTCACAGGAACCGTCTAACGCGGGTGTTAAGCTAGACAGAGGTGAGACGTGGCCAGCGTACACTGCTTTTCTTGAGACCGTTAACGTGTCCAGTGATGGTCAAACAACAGCCAGAGCATTATCAGCTGGCACACTGCCCTCAGATGACTCTCTTAGGATTTGGTGTGGCCCGTGGGGTTGAGACGACTCCAGGGTACCCGGACAGCAAAACAGCAGGTACGAGGAGGACAGAAGGAGTTGTGTCAGGCTGTGTAAACACTGGGTGAACAAAACAAAACTCAGAGTCATAGAATCTGGGAGAGGGATGTGCATGCATTAGAGAGAGAGAGAGGTGGGGGTGGGGTCTGATGGTGGTGGAAGTTGCATAAGAGAGGGCGGGTGGAGCGAGTAACTAGAAGTAACTATGAAGTTGTCAAAGAACAATCTTTTTATTTATTTATTTACTTTGTGTTTGTTTGTTTTTTGGTTTTTTCAGACAGGGTTTCTCTTTATTGTTTTGGAGGCTGTCCTGGAACTCACTTTTTAGACCAGGCTGGCCTCGAACTCACAGAGATCCACCTGCCTCTGCCTCCCGAGTGCTGGGATTAAAGGTTTGTGCCACCAACGCCCGGCAGAACAATCTTTTTAAAAAAGTTTAGAGCGACTTCTGATAATCCCCTGCTTTCTGCAAGTGCGCATGCACACGCGTGTGTACGTGCACACACACACACACACTTACTTTTGGGAGTACAGACAGAAAGGGGAGGAAGGGAGGGAGAAAAAGAAAGAGAGGGAGAGGACATTTGTAAATGCACAAGACTTGCAATCGTTCTGAACTGGGAGCGGTGCCGAAGGAAAAGCTAGGGATGCAGGAATGAGCAAGTGAGGAGCGTCAGTGGTTATGTTTGCCGCTGATTCTAAGTGAACATCACTTGCCAAAAAAGAAAAAATAAAATAAATAATAACAACCTTGGGAAACAGCTTGGAAGTTCCTCAAAATTTTAAATATAGAGCTGCCATGACTCAGAAATCCCACTTCTAAGCACATGCCAAAGAGAAACAAAAACAGGCTCCCACACAGAGCCTTGCGCACACAGGTTCAGGGCCGCAGTAAAGTGGAGGCCGCGCACGCTTGCAGGGCGACCACACAAGAGGCTGATTTGGTAGCGATAGAGGGGGCCTCAGGTATGCTCAGTGGGCGAAGCCATCGCAGAGTACAGCAGTGTACCGATTTACATGCCCAGAAGGCGGGGTCCACGGAGGAATATTATGGGCTGTCTGGGGCTGTGTGCACTGGAGAAGAGCAGCCAGAGAATGGGCCATTAAATGTGACTTTCGTCTGGGGTGATTAACTGTTCCAAAGTTGAATCGTGGTCATAGCTGCACACTCTGTCAATGTACCAAATGCCACTGAACCGGATACTTCTCTTGGTTTGTTTGAGACAATCTCATGTAAGCTGAACCGGCCTTGAATTCCTGATCCTCCTGTAACAAGCCCGCTGCGCAAGCAGGAGGGCCTGAGTTCAATCCCCAGAATCCACCTACAGAAGCCGGATGCCGTAGTGTGATCTTGTGATCCCAGGGCCAGGAAGCAGGCAGGAGGCTCGCCCAGGACTCGCTGGTCTGCTACAAAGCCTGCTGATAAAGACGACAGCGGAGACAGGCGATCAGGGCCCAGGAGCTACACGTAGAGGCAGCAAATCAAAAGCCGGTTCTTTGAAAACATCGACAAATGAACCAGCACCTAGCAAGACTGTCTAAGGCACAAGAGGGCAGATCTGGCGTACTGAAGCCAGCTGTGGGAGATGCTGCTACCTCCCAATGTGAGGCAGTGCGACTGAGCGGGGGTGGCTAAGTGGGTGAGCGTGTTTGGTGGCTGTGTTAACACCCACAAAAGGACCGAGTCTGGGTTTCCAGCACCTGTGTACGTATACAGCTGGGTGGAGCCATGCACTCCTGCAACCCCAGTGCTGGGGAGGAGAGGAGGGGAGACAGAGGATGGACGGGGTCCAGCGAGCTGGCTCATGGGGTAAAGATGGCTGCAGCCAAGCCCAATAGAACAAGTCCCTGGGATCGACTCGGGAGGAGAGAACTGACTTCTGCATTCTGTGGCACTCACTCCCAAACACCACACACATTGTCTGTCTGTCGTCTGTCCATCTATCGTCCGTCCATCCATCCATCCATCCATCCATCCATCCATCCATCCATCCATCCATCCATCATCTATTCCTGGGTCTTGCTGGCTGCCAGCCTGGCTGAGCTACAGAGAGCTCCAGCTTCAGTGAGAGACCTTCTCTGAGCGGTGAGGAACTCCACAAAAGAGAATTCCCACTGCCCTCCTCTCCCTGTAGATGACAGACACTTTTGCAGACCTGCAAGTCACACACACACACACACACACACACACACACACACACACACACACACACACGGGTG